CAGGTATCTCCAGCTGGGGTGACCATCTGGGAATCTTTTCATCCTCCCCAACCAGCTTCCAGATGTCAGTCCCTGCTTCCTCCCACCCCCTTATCCTTTTTAGCCTGGACAGTGGAATGCTGGAAGTGGTAAGGGGACATCCTCCCCTGACTCCATTATCACTGCTTTGAACTCTGATGTCTCTCCTGTGTCCACATGACATGTGAGGAAACTCAGTCCCATAGAGGTCCTGTTACTCCTCCAGGTCACTGCTGAGTGATCGAGAAATGGAAACTTACTGGCCAACTTTAAATTGGGGGGAGGAGCTGGGTTGATGGGGGAGGGAGTGTTCAGAGAAAGAACCAATGCGGGATATTTGGAAGGTGATGAAATTTTGTGAACTAAGAATTGTAGCGATATTTGTCGGACCTAGAGGACTTTTCCTATATTTTGCTTTTGGGAAAAAACCTCCTTGGCTATGTCTGAACGCTGGCTGTCTCCCCTCCTATGTGTGTCTGTCTGGGAAGGTGATATTTCACCGAGTGTTGATTGGCACTGCCACAAGTCTCACCTGGGGCATCTGTTGGACAGTCACCATACTTCCTGCTTCCTCCCTCCCTACCCTGGCCAATGAGCCCACCTGTAGACCTGAGGTATAGAGGCCTGGTGTTTGTCCTAGCCTTGGAACAGGAGCGTCCCAGGAGCCCACAGCTCAAGCCATGAGGCAGTGGGGTCCCCCTCTGCCCACTAGCTCACACTCAGGCCTGGTCCCACTGCCAGGCCTCTCTGTGGTTTCCATCTCTCAGTGTGCAGTTCCAGGTCGGTCCTTCCTTTCCTCACTTGGTCTGGCCCCTGCATTATCTGTGCTGACCCCTTGGAGAGCCAGACCACTGATGAAGATACAGTGGCAACCAATCTGTGAGTCGGGGGCTACCCCCAGGATCCCCAAGTGACCTCAGCAAGTCATAGGACCCTGCTGAGGTTGATAGCAAGAAATCGACTTTGGAGTTGGTCTCTGGGTTGAGATTCTGGCCTGGCTCCTGCACTCATGTGATGGGGAACAGGTGCCTCCCTGCTCTGAACAGCAGAGGCACATCCGTAGTACCCACACCACAGGGAAATGCGAAGACCCACACGGCTGGCATCTAAGAAATCTCAAAAAGCAGCCCTCCTCGTATTCATATTTTGATACTCTGCTGATATTAATGGAACTTGCATTCCAGAAGGAGAGGCAGATGTGCAAACAGACAATTACGCTCGAGTGTGACATACGTCACGGCGTCGTGCGAGGCCTGGGTTGCTGCATGAGCTACTGAAAAATAATCAGAGTGAAAGCGCTGGGAAAACCACAAGTGTGGCATCCTGGAGAAGGGTCCTCAGAGTGGAGGAGTGGAAGCCCTGCTTCTTCAGCTTCCTGTGGGACTGAGAAGGAGGTTCCCCCTACCCTCTGTGGCTCCAAGTTGGGACACCCCCAAATGGGAGGCAGATCACCTCTCCCTCACCTTTGTTTCCCGGGACTCCAGTAGGGCCAGAGGCAGGTGCTCAGGGGGCAGCATCTGAAAAGAACTCACTCTCAGGGTTGGTGGGGGGAGCACACCCTTTCTTCTTATACTCTAGGCACCTGGCTTGCCTTCCCTACTCACTCCCGTTCCTGGCTCAAGGTCCACAAGATGCCACACCCAAAATGGGCTCCAGAGTGTAAAGTGTTAAGACAAATTTCCTACTGTGGCCCAAGCTTGGAGAGTCACAGGCAACACACTCCACGTTCGAGGCTTTTTGTGCTTGAGGTGTCCTCTGTCTGGAATGCTCTCCCTTAGATACCCCCTGTGGCTCACACCTTCCTTTATTCCCACCTTCTCACAGAGGGCCCCCCTCTAGAGCATCCCTCTCCCATTACTCTTCATTGCTTTGCTCTGCCTTATTTTTCCCATTACCCTTACCACCACCTGACCTGCTTTCCTTCATTTATTTGATTATGGTTTCATCTGCTAGAACATAGTCCATGAGGGCAGGGCCCATGTCTATTATCACCGTGTATCCCCAGTGCCTAGAGCATTGCCTGGTGCAGAACAGGTTCTCAATTAATATTTTTTCATGAATAGAGGGAAGATAGGAAGAAAGAGAGAGAAGTTCTGCGAAGTCCTCCAGGGAAGAAACAGGTTTAATGTTGTTTAACCCACTATTTCATAAAATTAGTTGATGATAAAAAAATCATGTTGTCTAAAACACCTATGAGAAGCTCCCCAATCTCTGCACACTCTGGGAAGGCCATCTTGCCTTAATCTGGCAGGACCCCACCACTTATGCACCTATCTTCTCATCCACCTCTTCCCATGCCCCCAGGTCCGACCCCATCATCTGTGCAGGGCCTCCCTGTTGTTGCCTTTACGTGCCCTGCAACTCCCACTGACCCAGGCCTCTGCTTGCTGTACTGGTCAGCGCTCCTAACACCACCACCTGATTGCCAGAGCTGCACCCACCCTCCTTCCACCAGACCCACACTTGTAATCCCCTCATGGCTTGGCAATAAACAGTGACCCTCCAAGTGCTCTAGCCTGCCTCCCAGGTACACGCCATCTGCACCCACCTTGGGCTGATCCAAGATTTATACCTCAGAGATTAAGTTCTTCCCTCCTCCTTCTGGTGGGGGGGGTCTTCTCCAGTCTGGGGTCCTTAGCCATCTGGACAAGTGAGGCTTCGTTTTCATCTCTTATGTCCAAAGGCGAGAGGCAGCCGGGGTCAGCAGCTCACAGCTGCAATCTCAGCATTCTGGGAGGCTGAGGCAGGAGGATGGTTTGTGCCCAGGAGTTCTGAGGCTAAAGTGACAGAGAAAGACTTTGTCTCTAATACTAAATAAAGAAACAAGTAAGCATCGTGGGCAGGGCAGTCCCACCAGAAAGGTGAGCCAAGTGGTCACCCCTGCCTCCAAGCTGTGGTGGGGGCATCAGATCCTCAACTCCCATCATGGTCTCCCTGGCAAGGTTCCCCCCACCCCTGCCCACATCCTCAGGAGTAGATGACAAAAGTATACAGGCTGCACTTCCTCTCATCTGTTTTGTCATGAGAGCTGCTGTAATGGCGTCGCAGTTGTCATGGAGCCAGGAGGTTTGGGTTTGAATCTGAGCTCTGTCACTTGTGCCTTTGTGATCTGGCAGGTGACTTTGCTTCTTCGTTTCCCCACCCAACGGGGGGATAATAATAGCCCCTCTCTCCTGGCATTGCCGTGTGATTAAATGAGTGACTGTGTATCGTGCCAAGCATTTAGCCCAGGGTCTGGCCCAGAGCAGGTATGGAGACGTGAGCCACGGTTGCCCAGAGGCCTCTGGCTCACTGGGGTGTGTCTTCTGGAGATGGCCTCTTTGTGTGTCATGCCCCAAGCCTAGAGTGGTCCAGATTTGTTCCTTTCCACGGCCACTCCCCCCCTTTCCTCCTACCTTTAGCTGGCTGGTGTCGTGAGTGGTGACACCCTCACTTTGCATCCCTGGAGGATATGTCTGAGTCTCTCTGTGTGCCAGACCCTGGCCGAGGGCCTGCACAGAGCAGGTAGAAGTGGATTGGGATTGAATGACTGAGGAAACGGTGAGCAGAGGATTGGTCCTTCCATTTGGCCTGGATCATCGCCCTCTTTGATTATTTGGGCTGTGGGGGTGTCTAGAAACTTGAACTCTCCCCTGAGTTTGAGTCCACCCTGGGGCAAGCCCCACACCTTACCCCTCACCCTGGAGACTGGGTCCCGGGGCCTTGGACCATGTAGGTCTACTCGACTCCAACTTCCAAATTGATCCTCTCAAGGTCGATTCTTGTTTGTTTTTTTTTTTTTTCCTGGAGTGCTGTAACCATTAAGTTCCAGGCAGGGGTCAGACCCCTGGGTGCCATCTGCTCAGGTTGCCTGCGCAATTGAAATCCCCGAACTCATCCTGGCCAGTTTCCTCATTAAGACCATCGGACTGGATTGATCCATTAGATCGATGGCCAGACGTCAGCCAGCGGGAAGCTGATCAGATGAGCCTGCATGATTGGCCCAAGAATGAGGTCTTCCGCCGAGCTGGTGTGGGTGCCCTGCACTCCGAGATGGGGCTGCGGGAGGCAGAGGAGTGGGTCAGAGGCCTCCCCAGGCTGGACTTTGGTACAGAGGCAGCAGTGTCCCCAAGGTGTGCCTACCAGGGAAGAGTTCTAGTGCTGTGCTCTGGGGAACTGAGCAGGTGTTCCAGGGCAGCTGAAACAGGGCAGGGAATGGGGGACATTATCTGGTGTTTTCAAAGATTGGAGACTCTGCCTCAGATAATCATCCTATAAGGGCCCTTTCCACCACTCCCTCCACCACCATGGCCTAAAACTTGGGCCAGCCCCTTCCTGTGGGTGGCTAGGCATGTGTGATGGGAAATGCGGGCATTAAAGAAAGCCAACAGCATTCTTCCGGGCTCCCTTCCTTTTTTACCAGGAGTAATTTGGTTATGAGGGGAGGGAGGGAGGGTCATGGGCCCCTGGAACACCGTGTCCCAGTGTGGGTTTCCCAACCCTGGATCCTAGCATGAGGATAAGGTTTAAGGGATGGCTCGGGAACCCGTATTTGGTTCGGGTTAGCAATGTTGGGATGAATGCCTGTTAGTTAGCACATTCATTTCCTCAGGATTTAACAGGCTATTAATGTCGAAACTCTCTAAAGGGGAATTTGAAGGTGCCATGTTGGACCACAGAACCCTTTCTCTAGGATGCACCGAGGCACTGCCTGGAGGTGCCAGCAGGTTCTACACTCGGGGGAAAATTCATCCCAGGAAGAAGTGTTTTGGGTCTGTGGGGATCCAGTGGAGCCCTGGAGGTAGCAGAAAGGGAGATGTCAGGGTGAGGTGGGAAGAGGGTGGTTGGCTTGCCATGGGCAAAGTCACCATCAGCAGAGACCACAGTGCCAACAGCACCCCTCCAGATATGCAACCATTTCCTGCCACCTCCCTGGCCACCCTGGTCAGCTAGTCCTCCTGACCAGCCTGTGCCCTCACTCCCCTTTCTCCTCTCTTCTGCAGGGTACCTGACAGTCAACATTGAGCCTCTCCCACCTGTGGTGGCTGGGGATGCTGTGACCTTGAAGTGTAACTTCAAGACGGATGGTCGCATGCGTGAGATCGTGTGGTACCGGGTAAGTTGCTACTACTCCCTGTGGCCTGGGCTGGCAGTAGAGTCCCCAGAACCATCTGGGTGCCCTCATCAGAATGACTCCATTCTCAGCTCTTAGCAGTCCTGAGCTGTCCTGAACCAGGTCCCCACCTGCTCCCTACACCCTCATCAAAGGCTGCTTAGCCCAGTCTCCTCTGGTCCTCAGGGTGGGTCTTGTTCTGGCCTCCTTTGTGCTCCTAACACACCCATACTCTTGGGAAACCCCAATAGACCCAAAGCATGAGTTCCTGGGGCCACCGTGGGCCCTGGTCTCAGTATGACAACTAATCAATGTCTAATGGTGGAATTGGGGGCACAAGGCTTTGGGTGATGATTTTGGCAGGGAAAAGAGACAAACAGGAAGGCTTTTTGCCTTTAAATCCAATTACAGAGATACTCGGCCACCTAATCTGATTCATGGTGTGTCTGGCACTATGTTCAAGTTCAAGTTCAGGTCTTAGAGGGATGTTGTTAGAGATGAACAGGTGCCCACCTGCCCAGGGCCATATGTGGACAACAGGAAGAACCACTCTGGGTCTTGGGCACAAGGGGCCTTTTCAGCCACTGATCGAAATCTTCTAGTGTTTGGAGGGGGCATCCCAGTCTGGTCTCTCTTATCACAGAGGTTTTGGGGCCAGACTCAGGAGAAGGTCTGGTGTGCACCGATTCTCTTCTTGCAATGCCCCGTAGGGATGCACAGAGTGTAGTGCCGCCATCTTGGGAGGGAACTTCCCTTCTATCTTAAACAGAAGTTGGCAGAATTTTTCAGTGAAGGCTGAGATTATAAGCATCATCCTTTCTGACGCTGACACTACTCAACTCCTCTGTGGTAGCTCCCAAGCAGCCCCTGACAGTGTATAAAAGAAAGGGCACGGCTTTGTTCCAATAAATCTTTATCACGGACCCCGAAATTTGAAATCTGTGTAATTTTCAAGTGTCACAAAATTTTATTTTTCCTTTTTTCCCCAATCATTTAAAAAAGGTAAAAAATCCATTCTTAGCTTGCAGGCTATACAAAAAAACAGGTCACAAGCTGATTTGGTTCATGGGCAGCAGTTTGCAAATCCCTGATCTAAAGCCACACTTTTCTAATCTTTGTAAATTGCATCGCCCTTTCTTTAGTGGATAACACAGTCCAGTGAAGCCACTCCGGATGGAACAGAGAAGCATGGAGGGGAAAGGAAGGGGAAGGGGAAGGTGGTAAGTGGGCGCAGCTTGGTGATCTTAAATCTAGAGCTCTGCCCCTCTGCTCCTTCGAGCTACCACCACATCTACTCTCAGTGCTTGGGAGCTCGGTGCTAGAGGAACCTCTGGGGCATGCATGATATTCAGGATCTTGACTCAGCTGCCCTCTTCAACCTTGACTGCTCTCTGTCCAGACTTGCTTTGAAGCAGCCTGTCGCTGCTGCTCCGTCTTGCATTTCTGATCTTTGATTTATCGTTTGCTGGATGGTGCTACTTTTTTTTGGCTGTGATCTACGTGCCCCTTTTAACCAAAAATCACGGGTCTCCATTTCAGTGTTGCAGCCCTTCCTGCTCAGCATCAATTCTAGTGCCTGCCACTCAAGCTGTCCAGGTAACCTGGACCTCACAGGTGTGATCCTGATGTCCAGCACCCTGCAGGGTCCCAGCCTTAGAGGAGGGCTCCACCCTAGATAGAGCTGATGGACCTAGAGAAAGACGAAGCATATGTTAAGTAGTGCCATGAACTGAATCACTAAGAGGCGTATTTACAGGATATGGAAACTGCTTGGCTGACACAGGCTGCGAGCATCTCATTAGCACCTGGCAGAAGGACAGGGATAAATTAACTCCAGCTCACTGCTGGCGATGGGACACATCTCTCCCTCAACCAGCCCATAGATGGGATCAGAGGGAAGGGTGATGAAAGACAGATAGAGATGTACAGACACAGTGGGGACCGTAAATAGGGGTAAAGGTGGGAGGGCACTTGGAGATGGGAGAATAACTGTGGGTACCTCGTTGCCTTCCAAGCTCTTGAATCCGCTATCCTGACTTTGGTTAGAAATTGAATGTTGCCCCAATCACTGTGGTGAACATCTCCCTGCAGAGTTAAGGGTGAGGCCCGTGCCAAGGTGGTACCCAAGTGTGGAAAGTCAGGTGCAGGCTTCTGCCTGGCTCCACTCTCTATTCCTGAGGATGGGGAGTAGGGCTGAGGCAGGAGGCAGATGCCCCATCCTGGGCCAAACAGAGACTCCTTTTCCTTCTGCACCCCCAGTGCTGAGAATCCCCTGCCCCCACCGCCATCTTTCTCTCCCCGACCCAGCCTGCAATCCCACTGATTATTTTCAGAATCAGTGGCATCTCTTATGGGCGTCGAGCCCTGCATAGCGGGCTATGGTAGGCTGCACTAATTAATTTATTTTATTTCATTTCACATCCTTTGACTGTGGGCCTCTGGAGCGGGGTATGCAGATGTATGCAAATCATATGCAAATCGGCCACTGGAGCCAAAAGCTGGGCCCTTGTAATTCTGTAGCTGGACTGAGGTGGTGGCTCAGCTGACTGGCTTCTCTTCTTGGGACCAGGGGAGCCTTCGTGTCTTGTCTGTGAGGAGGGGGGCAGAAGACAGAAGGAAATTCCAGGGAAGGGGCTCCCGGCTGCCAGTTTTCTCTTTTCCTGCTGTGTCTCTGGCCTCCACTGCAGTAGCCTCTTTTCCCAAGAACCCAGCTGAAGGGAGAGAGATAAGAGCCTACTAAGATGGAGGCTTCAGGGGCCAAGGTCAGGGCTAGGCTGCTGGATGGAACAGGAGAAGCATCGACTGGTGTTCCAGTCTCCTCCAGCCAGACCTTCCACTTCTACCAGACAGACCCTCCCAAGGCTTTCTTCTCCCCCAGGGCTCCCTCTCCCTCAGCCTGCCCTGGTCCAAGCAGGGAGCTGCCGGCTGTTTGTTTTCTATACGTGCATTTGCTTTCCTTCCCAGCTTGCATTCCCCATGCCCCGTGAATGAGCTCACAGAGCCCAGCTTGGAAGGAAATGAATAGATCACACAGGCCCAGCCAGAACTGTGTCTCTAGCTCTGATAGAAGGGAAAAGCAGGGCATTGTGACGAGGCCACCACTGCCCACTCAACCCAGTGGGCAGAAAATGGCCCAGAATGTTTGTAAAGCCCAGAAGCCTCCCCTGTGGTCCTAAACACGTTATCTTAGCGACAGGATCGTCCTGAGCTTTCAGAAAACATGATGAATGGATTGGAGTCTTTGGGAAAATTGAGGGAGCTGATGAAATATTCTAAAGCCAAAGGGATCACCTTCTTGGGCTTAGCAAGACCTCTTGCTGAATGTTCGGGAAGGTCATTGAACTCCTTGAGAGAGTGAAGGGAGATTGGGGGAAAGTTTCAAGGGCCTGAGCATTGGACACTTTGCCCCATGGTCTGGCCACTGGGGAGCAGCTAAGCCAATTGTTAGAAGAAAATGCCAAAACTAGAAGAGACTCAAGACCGTGTACGTGATCTAAGCACCTGGGTCTGGGTTGTCCAGTATGGTAGACACTAGTCACATGTGTATGTTTATATTTAAATTGAATCAAATCAAGTCAAATTAAAAATCATTTCCTCAGTCAGACTAGCCCCATTCCAAGTGCTCACTGGCCACATATAAGCTGGTGGTTGCTATATTGGACAGAGCCGGTACAGAACATTTCCATTATTGCAGAAAGTTCTATTGGAAAATCTGCTCTAGGTATTTGAAATTTTTTTTCTGTGAATAAACTTCTAGAATATACTGTTCTTGCTTGGAAAGTCTGCTCTAGGTATTTGAAATTTTTTTTCTGTGAATAAACTTCTAGAATATACTGTTCTTGCTTGGAAAGGAAATAGCAGTAAATGCTCATTGAACCATTTTTTCAGGAAAATTTGCTTCAAAATGAATTTCAGTAAAATGAATTTTCTTTGTTTTGTAGCCTTCCATCATCAGGTTGTGTATGTGTGTGTCTGGGTGTTGGGAGGGATTGTAGGAAGTGAGAAGTGGTCTTCATTCTCAATGACCTCTTTGAAAACATACAGAAGATTGTCAGAAGGGTTGTAAGGCCCCTGAAGTGCTGGGTATTGTAGTTGTCTATCAAAGCCCTGTTCAACTTATAGGTATTTCATGGTCCTTTTTGCCATCTTCCTGTGTTTTTTTCCAACTGTAATATCTCTCATCTTAATAGCTCACACACTGATGGCTAATAGGGCAGAGGTGCAATTCCATACTTCACCAGTAGGAGGCTGTCATCTAACAATCAATCTAGCGTAATGATAGAGCTAGAACTTGGTTAATTACTCCTATTTATTTATGCCTATAAGGAGGGGCTTTTTTAGTAATGCTGCCAATACCACTCTGAGCAGCTGACATTATGGAGCCTTTACCATGTGCCAGTCACTAGAACAGGTGCTTTACTTACTTTGTTATATTTCATTTCATGTTGTCTCTGCAAGGTAGGCGCTTTTGCTAATCCTATTTTTCAGATGAAGAACGTGAGGCCATTCTCAGCTCAAGTTGCCTTCCCTAACTTCTCCAGAAAGTCTTAGGTACACCCTCCTCCGTGATTCCGCCTTGTGGATCTCTACCGCAGCACTTACCCCAACCTGTTAAAGTGCCTGCACCTGAACTTTGAGCATCTCAAGGGCAAAGCCTGTGTCTTTTCTCCACACTGCTTGCTCGAGGCCTAGAGCAGTGTCACCTCAGTAAATATTTGTTAAAGTAACGAATGCTAAAGCTGCAAATACAAAGGGATGTGCCCATTTTGACAGGCCATGCCATGTCACCCACCCCACTTCTTTCTCAGATGGGCATGTGTGTACAGTGGACAGCATCTGTCTGTTTGGGTGTGAGGAGTGAGGGTCTTTGGATACTTGGGGACTTTGTGGGGTATGTGGCAAAAGGGAACATTTCTTATTAGGACACACTGTCTAAACTCATTTAGTTGGAGGTTACCTGCCTAGCAGGCAAAGCCAAAGGTCTGTTTATATCATAGAAATCC